CCCTGACTTCGCGCGCGGTCGTGAAGATATCCCAGCCTGCGGCAAAACTAAGACCCACCAGCCCCCACGGAACAAAAGCTCGAAGAGACTCAGGAAGTTGGGATGGACGATGACCAACCCTGGCCTGCTCGGTATACCAGAAGCATCGTTCACCTGAACTCGAAACTGCACCCAGGACCAGTCCCCTGCTTGCGAAAAAGCAAACTGCGCTGGCGGCTCTTGTCACGTTCACCCTCGCTCTAGGCCGGCGCAACTGAAACCCCAGCGCGAGGTGAACCATCCGACCTTCCCGCTACCGAGCCACATGCTGTGATCGCGGCGGGCAGGCACGGCCAACCGCGCCCCCCTCCAGCGCAGGGGGAATTTCAATGTTTTGCCGTAGGGGGCCCAGGTTCTTCACGCCAAGTGCGCGCATGGTGCTTGCCATGCTTCTCGGTGCAAGGCCCCTTGGTGTCTGTTGCGGGCACTACAGACGCAATTGGTTCTTCCTGCGCGGCGGCCGCGCCTTGGGAACGTTCGGGTGAACTTTGGCATTGAGATCACCGATGATTTAAGCGATGGCCTACGCTCTGCTCGACGGCGCTGACCGCCCGCTCTCGAGCCGCCCTGGCACGCGGGTGGCGCGGGCCCCCCCCTGGCCCCCAACTCAGCTAAGTCGCGGGTCGCTTATTGCAGTGCCACATCCAAGGTTCAAATCCATCTTGCCTAGCTCTGGCGACGGACAGTTAAAACCTCATCTTGCTAGGTTTCCAGACGTGGTCCACCCCTACCCAGGCTGGTCTCCTGCCAGAGCTTCGACCAACAACTTGTCTCTCAAGGTCCTGCTGGGGCCCCGTGAGCCGCGCGCCGACCGACAGTTTGCAGCCCGCGCATATCTCGGGCTCGCATGGCCCCGCAAGCTCAAGACGCAGCAGCGCGGCGAACACCCCGCCGCAACCGTTCGCCCCCATTGGGTGGGCGAGTGGTCCACGCGCCGAGCCGGCGACCGCGATGACATTGGAACTCAACGTCCTGGCACCGTCAACGCCCCCCACCGTCGCCCGCCCAACCCCGGTTAAATCAGCGCATGCATCGTCCAGGTGGGCGGGCGTCCTCATTCCAAACCTGGATGTTCGAGACGCTCGGGCCGCTCCCACCCCTTGCCGGGCGTGGTCGCCCCGGTGGCCAGCGGGCCCTGTTCCTCGCGAGTGAATCTTCGGCCCTGCCATGGGCGCGCTCGCAGAGGGCCGCGCGCGCGACGGCGGCGAGATCAGCTTCCGCCTCTCTCCTCTCCGCGCCGCTGATCTGTGATCGCGCTGCGTTCCGTGGGTAGGATGACATCCTGGCGCCGCTCCTAGACGGCCCGTGGCCGCAGGCCGCCTCCTTAGTTCATCTTGGTTTCCAGGGCCACCCCGAGTGCTCCCAATGTGGGTTCCAGGGCGGGACTTCCAGGGGGCCCAGGGGCCCTGTCTTCCGCGGCTAGACTTCGAACCGCACCGCGCCGACAACTCTGCTCCAACATCGCCCTGCGCTAGCGAAGCTCGAGATAGCCCATCTTGGTCGAAGTCCATTTCTCGGTCTTGAGCGCGTCAAATGAAAGGCATGCTTGTTTATTGCTCTTGTAGAACTAGGCGGCAGAATCCCGATGGGCCCGAAACCTCCTCCTGGATTGCCGCGCGCGTCCAGCAGGGCGAGCGCGAGAGGGGGGGCGGGGGGGGGCTGACCTGCCGACTCTACTCAGCGCCTAATCTCGCCGAGGGTCGGCGGGCAGCCGTCGGGCGCCTCGACTAGGTCTTGCAGGCGAACCCCCGTCGCAGCCCGCCGCCGTCAACGACTGGGGCCCGCGCGCGTGCCTGCCAACTTCTCGAGCGAAGCGGGGGCCTGGGCAAATGCTGCCCTTCCCGATTCTACACTACTTTGCCTGCTTGCTAATGCCCTCTGCGAGGTGCTCCATTGCTCTAGCTGGAAGCCAAGCCTTCGCCGACGTATCCTCTTGGCTGCTCTACCTGCTCCCAGGGCCCAAGGGGGGCGCCTTCTGCGCCTCCTCAACCGCGCGCGAAACTTAACGCGGCGCTGACAAACTCGCGCGCCCGCCCGCCCGCCCCCAGCGTCGAACGCCCCCCCCGCCCAGCCTCGCCATCTCCCGCGGCGACCGCGAATGAACATCCTCGCCGACTCCTGCGCGACGAGGCCGGCCGCCTCCGCGCGCGCGCGCGCGAATGGCGGGGGCTGGAGTGCCGGCAATGTCGGCAGATCTCGTCGCCCGCGGAGCCCGCTCCTGCGAATGCTGCAGCCGCGGAGGGCCTCGAAGTAGCTCGTTGACCAGGACCGTCGACGCCCCCCGCCCGCTGCCCAGTTCTTGCCAAACTTTCGACGGCAGCGGGGCTCCTGCAGATACTTCGCAATCTTTCTCACGTCTCGATCCCCAGAAGACCCGATGGGACAACGAAGGCCCGATGTCCGTGCCGCGGACGCCTGGGCGCGTCGAGGAGGAACGCTTCTCCCGAAGGGTTGCCCGTCCTTCTGGGCCCTGTGAGACGCGGCGAGCTCCCGCGCCAACCTGTCCGACGGGCGCCGATGGCAATGGCCCAGATCCCCCTGGACCCCTTGGCCCCGGGCAGCCCTGGCCGACCTGGGCCCCCCCGCCGAGGCCGAAGACGGCGCCCGTCGGGAAGGGCCCGGGAAGCCGCGGGGTAAAACTATCGGGGCCCTTGACAGTGAGACGCGCGGGCCAGTTGGCGGCGATGGAGGCGGCGTCGCTCGCCTCGCAGCTCCTGGCGCCATCGGCGAGAGCTGCGGACATCGCGAGATAATCGATCGCCCCCCATTCTTTGCTGGTCGACGCGCGCGCGGTGGTCCGGGGCCGCCGTCGCGCCCCCCCCTGAACCGAAGCGACTGCTCAACCCATCCTCGTTTGGAAAATAATTGGAGGGCGGTGTTCTAACCTCCCCCATTCGCATTCGCGAACATGGCCGGCCCCGCGCGCGCTGCCCCTCGCCCGGCCGAGCGAGAACGCGGCGGCAGGTGGCGACTGACCGCCAAGAAGTGCCCAGGAATGCTGCCATTGATTCATCTCGCGAACGCTCGGTGGGAAGACGGCGGGGCGCTTCGTGTCTGCGGGGGCCCCGCCCCCCCGAACGATCGGAAACGAACTCCCACCCCAGCCGAGAAACTTCCAGATTCTGTGACCTCCGAGGCCTGAGAGGAACTGTCCTACTCCAGCTACCGAAGCTTGTCCACTTTCGAATCGACCTCTCCTGAATTTAACGTGACCTCCTGGCGCGCGATCGCCCCGCTGCCCGTCTCGCTCTCTAACTTGTTCTGCAATCGTCCCCAACTTGTGGAATTGCACGTCTCACCGCGAAGCTGCTCTCCCTCGGCGAGCCTCACCGCTAGGAATGCGACCTCGCCCCCCTGGGATTTCTCGGCAGCTGGGCCGGCGGGCTCCGAATCATCGAACGCAGGCTGCTGGGCCTCTGGAAAACGCCGAGTGACTCCGCGCCCCCAGGCCCGTGGAGAACGCGAACGAACTGATGGCGGCCAGTGTCGGGAGCGGAGCGAGGCGGGAAAGGGGGGGCACCTGAGGCTTAATGGTGAACACCCCAAGCGGCGAGCCGACCTCCACTGAACCTCCTGCAGCGCCAAGCCCGTGGTTCCCTTTTCTCGGCCAGCTGGCCCGGCGCGCCCGCCCCGTCTCCCGCTGTGCTGGCGCTGACCAACCCGCCTCCAGCGGGTAGACCTTCCAACGCAACCGCTGCAGCCCCATTGCGGCTGGGGCCGCTACCGCCTGCGCCGACAAGGGCGGGGCCATGGCTAGGCATCGCGGCGCCTTCTTGACGCTCAGCATCCCCTGTGGTTGGTGTTTTTTTCGCTCCATCAACTGGGTTGACCTTGCGCTTCTTGCCCTGCGGCCGACCCTCGTGCTCCGCGTGCCCTTTGGCCAAGCGGGCTGAGGTTGCCACCGCTTTGATGCCGTCGCGACGTCGGACTTGGCGGCGCTCCGCCTCTCTGTCATTCTGCTCCAGATCCATATATCTGTGGGCCCCAAAAGCCCGTCGGCCCCCGCGATCTCGAACTCCGAACTGTCACCGCCGAGCAGGTTCCCAAGGTCAGGCGTGGGCTTGAAGTTCCTGGTCGGAGCCTGATGCTGATCTTTGGCCTCGCAGTGCAAGTTGGCCGCTATCGTTACTTCTGGTCTGCCTCCTCCAACTCCGTGGTGGCACGACTGAACAGCTCCAGCTGACTCGAAACACTAGCCTGCCAAAACAACAGGGTATCAAATTCAATGAATCTCTTGTCACTTTCGAGTGCGCAGTGGGCACCCGCACCTGTATCGGCGGGTCGCCTTTCTCTTCGTTGAGTTAGATGCCCAATGCGTGATTGCAGCGGAGATCCAGGGACGAACCTCCTGACGTCTGCCATACCACCACCAAGAAACGAAGTTCTTCTGCCGGCAACGCGAGATCCCGCAGGCCTGGCGTGGCGGGAGGCTATGTGGAATCCCTTCATCCCCATTCTCTGCTTTGGGTGCCCACGCGCACTCGCAAGTATTACGGCCACTTCACGATATCATGTTCTTCTTGCGCGTGCACTGTCGGTATTTCCCAGTTGGGCTCTCCACGCCCTTCCCCTTCTTGGGGTCGCCCTGACACCAACCGCCAAAAATGATCGAACACGCCGCGGTTCTTGGCCAAAGGTTCTGGCAAGGCTCGCGGAAGAAGGAGAGCGCTCCTGAGCCACGTTTGATATCGCGGGATCTAATTCCCACATGCGGCTTGAGCCACCCTCTTCTCCTCCTCCACTTCCTCCTCCTCATCCTCCTCCTCCTCCTCGTTCTCCTCCTGTTACCCCTCCTATTCCTCCTCCTCCTCCTCCTCCTCCTTCTCCTTATTCTCCTCCTTTTCCTCCTCGTCCTCCTCTTTTCATCCTCCACGTCCTCGTCCTCCTTTCCCTCCTCCTCCTCCTCCTCCTCCTCCTCCTCCTCCTCCTCCTCCTCCTCCGCTGCCCCTCCTCTGGTCCTTCTGCTTTTCCTCCGCTGCCCAAGGTGCGGCCGCCCGTGGCTCGCACAGGGGGGGCCCGTGATGGCGAGCCCGGGCTCGGCGCGCCGCCTCGGGGGCGGGGCGCGGAGGCGCTTCCGGGCGGGCGACCGCGCTCGCGCTGCCGAGCTTTGCCCTCGACCCTCGAGGTTCGAGGGGGAGGGGGGGGGAATAGCTGCTCCTCCTCCTCCTCCTCCTCCTCCTCCTCCTCCTCGCCCTCCTCCTCCTCCTCCTCCTCCTCCTCCTCCTCCTCTCCTCGACCGTCGGGGGGGGGGGATCGGACGTTTTGGGCCCGCGTGTGGCTTCCGGAAGCCTCCGGACGCCTCAGGGGACATCAAGGGGTCAGGATGGGGGGCGGGAGCAGAACTTGCCACCTTCCCTCCCCCTCTCGTCCTTTCCTCATCCGTAGCGATGTTGGCTCAAGCAGTCTTGCCCCAGGCCATTCTGCGCTCCCCTCTCAAGGCATGACACCCTCCATACACAGGCAAGCGAGGTCTCATTCTGACCTGGGTAGCACCGCGCTGCCCAGGAACTCCCAGGAATTAAAGCGGCTACGGTTGCACCGCTGGCAGCCCCAAGGGCGGCGAGGTAGGAGGCAGGCTTGGCAGCGCCCAGGGAGGCGAGATAGGAGACAAGTGGGCACAAGGAGGCAAGAGTGAGTAGGAGGTGTGGGAGGAGGAAGCGGGATGAGGAGCAGAAGGATGGGGATGAGCAGCAACGCTCTATTCAAAACGAAGACCGACCAACGAGGGCCGGATGGGAAAACAAACATTATACAACAACCTGAATCTGTGGGGACGGGGACACAGGTACCTCTGGGAAGAGGGGGCGAGCATGAGAGAGAGTAAATGCACATTGCCAGAAGTAATCATATGGGGGAGGGGAAACACGAATAGCAGCAGCTGCGAGAGAACCACGACCAGGAGATGGAGCACGAGCAGCAAAAGCAGCACTAGGATGAAGAGGACCAATAGGAAAAACACGAGCACGATGTGGAGGAGCAGCATCCGCATTGAACAACCAGAGTGGGGAAGGCCCAGGGAGGAGGGCTCAGGACAGAAGAGGTTGGGGCGAACCGCCGTCGAACAGGAGCGGTGGCGCCGGGCGCTGCGTCGGCGGCGCAGATGGGGCCGACGAGCACAGGGCGTCGCGCAGCTCCTCGTCATCATCGTCATCATCACCACTACCACCATCACCATCGTCATCATAATCAATACAACAGCCACCATGACTCGCCCGCATACCCACGCAGCGTTGCTGCCCTGCTAGGTGCCTCGCATAATCACGTCCTTGCCAATTCCATCTTGCATCTGGAAGTTGAACATTTTCGGATACCTATTTCCACACGAGCAAAACTCCAAACCCCAACAAATGCTTCAAACATCCGCAATCATCGGCCTGTTCGTCGTTATCGGTGCGTTTGAACTTCTGGGGATCATAACTGGAAATAGAAAAGAATTCCGCGCTTGACGCTCTAGTCTCGTAGTTGCTAAACTTCCTGCGCATTTGGCAACCGTGCCTCGTCAATGCGGCTGGATGCTGGTTGCCCAGAGCGCCGCCACGTTTGACGTCCACCAGTGACTCGTTCAGCTTTGCTGAATGTGTTCCATGGAGTGGCGCATTTCGAGCGGGGTTTCTTACGCAGGAGACTTTTCGGGCGCCGTGGACGACGCGATGATCCTACAAGCGAACGTGGGTCCCCTCCAAGCACGAGACGAGGACAACAAAAACAAGCAAGTGGCAGCGAATATGGACACGTTACGTGCGACGTAAGACCCTGCTGCTGCCAACCTTGACCACATCGAACGGACCACAGATCGAGATCTGCCTGCCCTTCACCAAGCCTGCCTTTGCAACCGTGTGCGAGCCTGGATCTAGCACGTCGGCAAAACCTCTGGAGACCTTGTGGCCAACACGCCTTTGTCTACAAGCACGAACGGCAAATTTACTGCACGACATCACAAGAACTCCAACGTTTTCTCTAGCAATCGAGGATTGGACGAAGTGCTGTTTTCGCGGGGGGACGGAGCGAACTGCGGCCTAAAATCAGGCTCGACAAAAATGCCAGCGGCTGGCTGGAAATCTCCATTCAACACTGTGTGCATTATCCGCCGATCTGGCGTTTTTTTTTTTTGTTTATATATATATATATATATGTATATAGTAAAAAAACTTTTTGATATAAAACCACGACAGTTGCGTTCAGGCTTCATCCCTGCTGAAGCTACAACCTGAGCTACAACGTGAGCTTCAACTCTGCTGGGGTGTGTGCCTGGGGTGGCCTTGCCAGTGCAGAGGGGAGGGGGGACATTGGATTCGCAAGCCGCCCCAAGACAAGCCAAAAAGGGGCCCAGGAGGCCACTAAGACGGCTCAAGAGGCACATGCGACGCCCCAAGAGCGCTCTAGGACGTTCAAGATGGCCGCATCACGGCCCAAGAGGCCTCCAAGACGCTTCAAGAGGGCCCCGTGAGGACCTCACAGAAA